GGGGGGGGGGGGGGGGGGGGGGGGGGGTCCACTCTCTGGGAAATCAACCAGGAGGAAAACGTGAGGACAGACACCGCCAGCTACCCAACAACACCACACACCCATACAGAGAGCAGAGAGCCATGAGATACGTCTGATAGGATAAATAAAAAGGATGATAGAGTAGGAGATGGCAACTACCTTTCTGCTTCAGCCGTCCAGCTGGAATATAGAGAGAGTGAGCCAGTTACCGAGAAATTAATGAGAGGGTGATAGAGAGACAAAGGGGGAGAGGAAAGTCTTAAAAGTTCATATTTACAGAATGATGATTCTGGGGAGCATTTTTATTGACTAAACCAGTGAAAATGATAGTGATGGCTTAGTCTTTTGGCCATGTTTCAATCTGTGAGGAAGCCTCAAAGAATACTGTGTACTTGCAGTGGCTCTGCGAAGGTCTGGACACTGAAAAAGGTTTGTTTGTACCAAAACTGCATTACAAAATCATCAACATGAGACAGAAAAAGGAATGAGATAAGTAAAGAAAAAAAATGGTAAAGTTAAATGGTTTAATTCAGAAATGCTTCAGTATGTAGAGGCTACACCTGTTGGAAAATGATTCCTGTCAGTAATTGTAAAAATGTAAAGGTATACTATGCAGGATTTTGCATTGTTTAGACTCCCACAAAAGTTATCCCTCTGTCAATCATCACTTACGACCCACTAGAGGAATGTGGTGATGTATTTATCTGCGGAGACCATGCCCTTTGCATGTAATCACTTATTTTCCTCTTATTTTGCTGTGTTTAGGACATTCCTGGGCTCGGCACAGCACGCAGGTGAAGTCAGGACTTTATGAAAAGGCAACAACCATGCGCCAGACCATAAGCCCATAAGCAGCACGCAATGAAGCTATGAAACTCATGGACACAGCACCAAAAAAATCAGTCTCTGTGCATCTAGTACAGATAGTAAAAAAGAGAAAAAATAAACCTTCCAAACACTCCAAAGCTGTCTGTCTTACCATCTCACCAAGAAGGCTATGTTGACAGTCTTATTTGTTTGTTTGTTTAACACCTTTCAACAGCTTCAAGCTGTTAGAAGGTATATATTTTGATTTTTGACAGAGCTTCACCAGCGTTCCCCCCCTGCTTTCTGTATTTGTGCTTAGTGAGACTAAAAACATCTCCTTACTGGACAAATTGATGAAATTAATATTTTTCTTACTTGACTGAATACTCAAGGGTCTTTTCCAGATACTTGTCTGATCCTTCTTTTTGTTTTTGCTGTGTTTAAATGTTGACTGAGTCATTTGGAATTTTGAACTTCTGTAGTTGGAGGACAAATGCAAAATCTCCACTGCATGGTATGGCTCGACTCAACTCGCTTTTGGTACCCGGTACTTTTCTCCATTCTGTTTTCACTATTGATATTTCCAAGCAAGTCAAGTCAAGTTGTGCCGTGCCATGCACTGGAAATGTGTCAAAGGATTATGGAGAAAAAAAGAGATGAATGACATATTTTTTTAGGTTATATCGCGATACATGATATGTATCTCCATATTTTGAAATCTCCTCGTGTTTTAATCTCCTACTAAAACACCAAATTATTAAATTATCAGTTACAATAAAGCAGCTACTATCATAATAAAGTTTAATAAAGTACCGTTATAATAAAATTAAATAAAGTATTGTTGTCATTAAATTACTTGTTTTATTTTATAGCACCCGGTTCGTCTCAGGCCGGAGGTGTTGATGTTCTTGCTGCTAACTTGAAGCAGTTAGCAGAAAGTTGCTGCTGCACCTTTAAATGTGAGGATTTATTCAGTGTGAGCTGGTAACAGCTCTCCAGTTGATATATTCATAATATCTGCAAGTAGCACTGATTCTCCATGGTCGAAAAATGTGGCTAAATACTCACTGTCTGGAGCCCTACAGGTACAAGGACACACACGTCATCTGCTATCACTACTGTTAATCCAATTAAGTTAAACTGTTACTGTGGCGCTGTTAAACATGATGATGTATTCACTTTAAGCGAGGAAAACACAAGATACAAAGACACTGCTGCTCAGCTAAAAGTTATCTGGATGGGCAGAGGAGTGTGTGTGATGTGTCATGTCTGTGAGTCTTTTTTGTGTGTGTCTGTGAGAGGGAGAGAACCACAGGAGAGAGCAAGAGAACTAAAACCCTGAAGCGAGTCTCATGCTGGTGACTTAAAAAAAAAAAACGTGACGATTTATACTCGATGTTTTCGATGTAGTCATTTTATTCATCCCACATGTAACAAGCTGAGATACATCAAGTATATTCGATATATCACCCACCCCATGTTTCCTGTTTAGTTTGTTGAGGTGGTTTAAAGCTGTCAGTTTAACTCTAGTATGGACTAAACAACTGGACTGGACCAACCAAACAATGTTTTGACAGTACATTATTGTGATTTTAGCACAAAGTCACTAGAATTTGATTTCCCTACGTGCGTCGCAATGATGCAAGATGACAGACGCCAGAACTTTTAAATCAATAAGTTACCTGCCATTCTGTAAAACTACACGTTTACAGCTATGCTACAATAGTTAAAAGTCAGTGTGAACACAAACTTAACGAGAACTACAAGGCAACATGTAATATTTTTTTGCCGGATTTGGACAAAATGAACTAACCTACAAGTGTATAAGCACCCATAAAATAACCAACTCCACAATTCTTAAAGAAACCAACCAGGTGATAAAGACAGCAGCTTACTTTTCTGTCAAATTTAGATACATTTGTCATAAACCAGAGGGTCACCATCACCGCTTGTTTGTGTCTATTACCCTGTTTATATTCCAGCACATTGTTTTCAGGAATGAAACCATGAAATTACTTCTAAACAAATCAGCACAGCAGTTGTGTTAGTAACAAGTAGGCTGATGAGAAACAGTTCGGTACAGGGGTCACAGTTAAGCTGCTGTACTCACTTCCAGTGGCGGAGCCATCGCTGTTGGTTTCAGTCTTCTCGCTGGAAGAGAAAGGTAATGGCCGTGAGAACTCCGTCCCTTGGTCCGGAGGGCAGCCCGCCATCATGCAGAGACGCAGCAGGCCACATCTGAGGATCAACGGCCACAGGGCAAGGCAATTACAGTGCTAACGCTAACAGCACCACTACTGGTCACTATCAGACAGATGACATTAACAAGGGATCTTCTTGTTAATGAGCTCTTACTGTGTTCATGGGGCTTAAGTGCCATGATAGCAACGTTCCATATAAATAAAGAACTAAAAATCTACTGAAAAGCTATCTTACACATCTTTCTGTAGGTATCAATGTATAAATCAATAGCACTGGGCCTTGTAGCTAATGTTTAGTGCTCTGTAGTTGTGCTGTGTTCACACAAAGTAATGTACCACTTCACTGCTATGGAGCTGATAATGGCATTGATAATAGTCTGCCACTGTTCCTGTCAATAATGCTGCCTACGTGTCTGACCTGTCTGTGAGTTTTAGAGGTTTAATGGGGTATAATGGAGAGTCTTACGTGCTGTCACTGTCTGGTGCTCTGGTCAGCACACTCTGGACCAGGCCGGTAAGGCTGGCGATCTGCTTCTCCATTGCCTCCATACGCTCCAGACGGTGATCCCTGCAAAAGTAAACGCCAAAGATCTATCACCAAATGCTGAACAAACTAAGGAATGGTCAGATGAACACTTGGCTTGCATTAAAATCAAAATATATAGATATATATATTTTGCAGTAAAAATATGCAACACAGCACTGTGGAGTAAGCAATAAAGCTTCAACAGTGCTTGTAAACTTGGCATTAAATATCTGCTTGTAATCTAGTAATTTCCAATCAAAGTTTAAGAAAAAAAAAAAAACATAAAAAAATATAATAGTTCAAGCCATTTAAAATTCTACTGATCCTCCTAATTAGGACTGTGTGAGCGTGGTTTGAAACCAGTGAGAACAAAACAAAAAAAAACCCACAAATACAGAAATCTCTCATGCAGAATAACTAGTATTTTTTTAAAACCTTGTCAGATAAGGTTGTGTTTATGTAGGGCTTGCTCAGAAGCTGATCAAGAAAAAATATTTTCAGGACCTCCTCATACCTCAGTGAAATTCACCGCACAGTCTCTTACTGACCTGCTGCTGTCAGGGTCCTGTCCAGACAACGAAGAACCAAAGCCAGGCGTGGCCCTGCTGCCCTCCCCAGGCCCGGCTGTCAGACACAGAGGCTCTGAACTGGAGCTGGGCCTCGACTTTGGGCTCTCCACAAACACAGAGGAGGAGGCTGAGTCTTTGCGGAAGGTCTGCCTGACAGGTGAGGCTCTGCTGGGTGAGCTGGAATAAGAGTCCCTGTCCCTCAGCTGCATGTCAGGGATTTTCTGCGGGGATGAGGGCGGCATGCGAAAACCCATGCCCAGTGTGGCTGAGGAGTATGTATCAGAGTACAGCGAACCTCCTGGCTTGTAGAGGGAGTCCTCCAGGTCTCCTTGAAGAGCTGCGGCTGAGTAGGTGCTGAGGGAGCGCACAGAGCCACGGCGGTACAGGCCACTGGAAACGGGAAAGCTAAAGGGGTCTCCGATGGCAGCTAACGACTGGGTGGAGGCGATACTGAGGCGGCCCTCATGCATCAGGCTGTAGGGATCTGCATACAGTGACTCATTCTTCATTAGCGCCATATTTTTTGCAGAAACTTCTTCATCAGGCTTAACGTCGCGGCGCTCCAGGATGGCACTGGGCGAGGGAGACAGGCCTGCATTGGCACCATGGCCAGCTGAGGGATGGTGGGGATGTCGTGGCTGTTCATGCTGGGAGTGGGACCCAGTGAAGGAGGGAGGACGGCCGCCGCTGTAGGAGAGGCGTGAGCGGGATGGAGAGCCAGAGGACCCCGAGGCTGTAGAGGAAGGGAGCGTGTTGAGGCGGCGAGTTGGGGAGGAGTCGCGAGAGGAGTACACCATCTCTCTCTGAAAATGAATAAGCAGGGATGAGGGTTACCATGGAGACCTTTGGATGAGAGCGCTGTGTTTTTCATGTGAGAGTTTGACATGAAGACGCCTGAGATGTGACTGACACCAGCTAGTCTGTCACAGTCTGTGGATGCCAAGAGATGATTTTCTCAAAAGACCAATTATACATCCAATTATAGATCTTATTTTCTGAAAAATGTACTCGATTGATTTTTTTTTTCAATTAGGTCAATGACAGAATAAAAGAAAAATAAATGCCCAACTAAAATCAAAAGTTTTCAGGGGGACACACATCTCTATTTAAAACACTGTTGTCCTGTATTTCTTAAGTTATTGGCTTAGCATTACATTAGTACAAGTGGTATTGAGTCCAATCTGAAATCCAAATATATATTCCTTTTTCTATTTAGTAGAGTGGTGTCAGGGTGCAAGAGACAAAGCTACTCATTCCTACTGAGTGACTGACAACTGATTTTATCTATGTCAACGTCGCTTTTATTTCCCTCCACCTACCTTTCTTTGTAGTGCATCATAATGTAGTTACTGCTCTGATGCCTTTTCAATCCACCTCCGCCTCTGTTCTCCTCCTGTTGTGATTTTTGTCATTTTAAAAAGCCAAATACTCTGTTTTCCCTTGTCACATAACTTATTTTGCTGCTTAACTCATGCCTGTTTTCTTCTTTTCATTTGCTTCTCAGCATCCTAGCTAACCTTGTCATGCGGCACCGTGTAATACACAGAAAATACTGGAGCGTGACGAAGGAATTTGTGCTGCTGAGCTGTTATGCCAAGGGACAAATTCATATACATGCTGTATATTAACAGAGCCATATGAGGTGGTCTGGTTTGCACAAACTGTATGAAAACAACAAAACAAATAAAGGCACAGCTTACACCTTAAGTTGCTCCACAAGACACACAATATGAACAGGAGCCAAAGTATGGCAAGATGCTTGTTAAGATGGAGCCTGCTTAGTCTCCAGCAGTTATAAAGAAGTGATGGACTGTGCATCTCACTTTGATGATTGTTGCTTTTGCCTGATAAAAGTGTTGCTAAAAACCATGCTTTTATTCCTTGGCGTCAAACTATGTATTAAAATGTAGATGTGCTTTAGCAGTTTGTGCTGGTCAGCTGCCTCTCCACCACTTTTTTGTTCTTCTGGGTCTTGTACACACAGGCACAAACAAGCATGTAAGCATGCATAAACACAAAACATACTGCACGGTACATGCACACACAGGCATAATCGTTTTTCACTGCCTGTTTGCATGGTTAATAGCAGTTGTATTGTCAGTATTGTGTGAATAATGCAGATGGTAAGCACGGTTTTGTATAAAATAATTAAAAAAAGGTCTCCCTCAGGCTTCCTTGATCTTCACTGAAGCAGAAATAGCTTCGGATGTTAAAATATGCTCATTTCACAGAGGAACATTGTTCTCTTGTGTCGGCACAGCAACAGATGGCCTACTTGAAGATAAGAAAATACATTTCCAGGTGGAATACCTGTTAAATTACTAACCCACATACACCACACAAGCCTGTCAAAGTTACCATTGAAATATAAAAACACTATTACCTTGCCAAAAAAACACACTGCTGCTCTTTATGTAGAGGATTAGCATTATAACGGTTGTCACTGACAGCTCAGTTGTCAAACATCAGACGGCATTCTTTCTCTAAAATAACCCTGTTTGCCCTCTTCACCTCCCCACTCCCACAGTTCCCTTTTCCTCACCCTTAGGTCTCCGTTAGCCAGGTGTGCAGCAGCAGGGTAGGAAGCGTAGATGGGCTCTTTGCGGTAAATCTTGATGATGCTGCGGTCCTGGATATCCCGGACATCCTCCAGCTCGTAGAAAACGTTGCGCGCCTCGTCCTTGATCAAGATGGCTGTGTTGGGTGACTTCAGCATACCTGCTGTTAGCTTCTGAGGGAACATGTGCACGATGAGAGCGTGCAGCGTGTCCAGGCTGCTTAGCTCGTGGGTGATGTGAACCCGACGTGTCTCATCTCCGTACTGCAGGAACAGCACCCCTAAAAGAGAGTGATGAGGGAGAGACAGGTGAGTCAGAAGGTGATGGCTTTTGTGGATGGAAAGAAAAACTAGCAAAGCAAATCTGTCAAATCATCATTTTGGCCATTTGAAAGATTTTGTGTTGTCAATTATGATCATGTCCTGCCTTTTGGTATACTAAATCCTGATAATGATTTTTATCATCAGATATCAGCGTGAATAATTACTGACAGAGTAAACACCAGTTCTTTCTTTCTGAATGTGAGAAAAGAATTGTGGTGGCTAAGTGAGAATTCACAGCTGAGGTGCAAAGTTGCAAATTTGAGGCAAGTAGTACTACTACTTTTCTTTAAATAAAACTTTTACTTTTTTTTAATCAATATTCACATTACAATAATGGATATAAAAGGAGCTGCATGTGACATTCAGAGCATATCTATGATTCAGAGTCTGGGGCAGGATTCTCTGCACACGGTTCTAAACATGGAGGTGGGTGAGCTGATGGCTAGCAGCTTACAGTGCTAACTCTATAAACAGCGCTAAAAACAGGAACAAGTGCTGACAGTGCTGACATCGTTACCTGGAGGAAAATCGGAAGGTGGGCGATGTGCTTCTGCGATGCCACTGGCCTGATATCAGTGGTAACTGCTGTATGAGCACAGCAGAGCTGCAGCAACTAACACTACACTAACATACACATGTGGCCAGACCCACTACCACAAGTGTGACTTCATTCTCTACTCCGGATGCCATTACTTCACTATATCTTATATATTAATGTTCTGAATGTCACATACAGCTCCTTTAAATTACCCAAAGAAAAGCCATACTTCATGGAAAACTTTGTCAGATGCTGGAACCCTTGAATTTAAAGGTAAAGATGAGTCTGACGCCTGACTAACCTGAATATTCATCTTCATACACCCGGGAGACAAACAAAAAGAACAAACAAAGCAAAGAAAGACCAGTGATTAAAAGTCAAGCAAAATAAGTGTGATGTTGCAGATGAGTTGAGGAGAGAAGAAAACAAAGTGGTTAGTAAAAAGACATGGAGAGAAGGGAATGGCAGCTTCGCCGTTCTACTTCTGTCTGAACCCCTCATTCAAAATGACCTTCATCAGTCACTGCCACTTTAGTTTTACAGCCACTTTTTTTTAATCTCACTGTACCTGACGTAACACCACTCCTTGGTCTTTATGAGTCTGGACCAGCCTCACACTAATCTGCTCTAAACTCCCAAGGCTCTTTTGTTGTAAACCTGTCCTCGAAACTGCTGTTTACTCTTGCAGTTGTAGAAAAATATCCTCAGTCTTGAATGATTAACACAGGCGTGCTCTATCACAGCCACCAAAATAACTACCTGAACAAAATGTATGCTTAAATAATCCTGAAGTAAATATAATATACTATACTTTCAAGCTCACTGTGCACCTGCACATGCTCACACATCCTGTGTGAATATATTAGGAATATACTGTGTCTACACTGAAAAACAGATGAGCTTGTTACCATTCAAGAGAGTTGCATTATCTGAGGGCTCTTTCCAGTTCTCTTTAGCAGAGCAATTAGACTAAACTAAAAGTGTTACGGTAAATGAGGTGAGAGTTTAACACTTTCTCCCATTCTGTGTAAGCCCAGTGGTGCACATCACCAATTACATGAGGTAAACAAACAGCTGTAAATCTGCCTCCAGTCCAACCAGCATGTTATGGCAGAGCTTCAAATCTTAACCTGGAGATCGTAGCTTATTCTGGCTGGCAGAGCGGGACAGCGGCAGGCTCTGGCGAAATCGGTTCATCCGGTTGAACCCGATGGGTATGTCGGCTTCTGACATGGTCTCCAAGGATTCAGCTGAGGCAAAGGAGAGCTTGGCGGCCTGGTCGGCAAGCCCAGACTGGGTAGACTGGGAATGCCGTGGACTGCGGCTCTGCAGGAGGAGAGGAGACACACAATAATTTACTGAAAGGTGAAATCGAGGCAGAGAGAATGGATTGGACAGGGCTGATGGAGCAAGACCGACCGGAAAAGAGACAGTGAGCACACAATGAGACACCACACAATCAACCACATAACAAGATTAACGAGACCTTGACAATGGTTGAGCTACCAGCCATTTGCTAAGAATTACCAGCGTCACAGTATCTGATATCAGTTGAATGCTGCAGCAGAAAAGCACAATATAGTTGTTCTCACATGGCACAACACTCCAGGGCATCAGCCTTCATGAATTACCTACGGTGTGTAACGAGCAAAATTAAGCCAGAAACTGTGCCCCAGCTCAGCATAAGTTATGTCATGTATGCTCGACTTTGCGCACCTCCCCGACACCCACACCCAAACTGTTGTCCCTGTGCTGCTACGAACTTTAAATGAGTGCTTGTGGGATGGGAGGAGAAGCTCATGCAAATCCCGGTCTGTCACTGTTGGTTTATCCTGCTGGCCTATGCTCAGGCGTCTGTCACTGAAAGACTGTTAGTGCAGCTGGGGCTGAGCTCAGTGAACTGGCTCCCTGATCCCCCACCGATGTAGCATCTCCTCTAGCTCAGAGGCTGCTGTAATGAGCTCCCAGAATGCTGTCTGCTGGTTGTTTGGATGGCAGAGGCAGACACATCCTTAGCCACAGTACAGTAGCTCCTGCCGGTCTCCTCCTTGCACCATGAACACATCAGTTTTCCCCCTTTCCAGGGATTTCCTTCTCTTCCTTCTCTGCCTGAGTCAAACTGCAGCATGGATCCACTGTGGCTTTCATTAATGTAATATTCAATTAATTTGAAAGTCTGACACAACACATACATCCATTTATGATTTGTTAAATGGGCAATAGGACAGGAAGTCATACTGCACAATAAACCAGCGCTGCACTGCAGTACCTATTACCTCCACGTTTTAAATGAATGAATTCATTGTTTAAACAATAAAATGAAAAAAATTACAAAGAAAGAACGTTATGTATGCCCATCAGAAACGATCATCAGGATATGACAGCATGGTTTCAATTGGTTGAATAAGCCATACAGCCTCCACTAATAACACCATGTCAATAATACAACCTAATATTTTGTTCAAAAGTATAAACTTAAAAAATCTCTAAGGATGAGTGCACGGTGAAGACCTGAATGCAGTATTCACAGAGCATTCACGCTCTGCTTAACAGCTTTGTCCTGCATTAGAAAAGTACACAATTAAAATAACCTAAGAGCAAATACAACCATTGCCCAGTGTCAGGGAGAAGAAAACACTGAATTTGTCAAAAAAGCCTATTAAGTGTGTATGATTGTTAAAAATTGTATATACAAAATGCAGGCAGAGAATTGTATGAAAAGTTTAAAATATCAGGAAAACTCATCTCTAATGCAATATTCACTGGAAATAATCTGCTCAAAATGTTCCTCAAATTGTGTGACTGTACAGTTTCTCAGTTATTACACACTGAATATAATATAGGGATGCATGATATTGGATTTTTTTGTCGATATTCGATATGTCAATATTGATATATCCACTTTTTCCCTACCTAATTTTAGTGATCATCAAGTCTCTTCTGTAGTGGAATTAACATCATGCATGTTTCTGATTCTGAGCCAATTTCTGCAGATACCGATGACGTGCTGATGTTATCATGCATCCCTAATATAATATGAAGTATCTGAGAAAATATGTCTCTTTGTCAGGGGTGGTTAGTTTACTTAATGATAGAAAAGGGGTAAAAGGAAAAGGAAAAATGTTGGGAACCACTGATGTAACTGTAACTGACTAACTTATAAAGTCAGGTAACAACGTTGAGCAGCAAATAATTTGTACTAGTTATGCTAATGTTTGCAAACTAACATAAATGTTAGCTGTGAGGCTTATTCAAACTTATGCTATTATGCAATAACGTATGCTATTGTGTCCTGAAAAATTGCCCCCTAAACATAAATTACACAATGGCATCCAAACATATAATACATTTATATATTCACGATAAGCATACCAAACAATATATATGTGGCCTAACTAAATGTCAGTCAGCTTATAACAGGCCGATTAAATATATACACTCAGTAAGCCACTTTATGTATTAACAATTAGTGCGATAAAACCACACTGCAGAATATAACACAGTGAATCGTAAACATTATTTATTGATGGAAGCGCAATAACACACATGATTTTTCACATTAACACATGCAATAATGGGTCCAAGCAATGGAGATGGGTCCCAGCGCTGAAGGATGACCTGAGCCTGGAGCTCTGCAGCAGGACCCGATTGAAACTATGGTAGTGAACATGGTTAACATTATATCTGCTTAACATCAGCATGTTGTTATTATGAGCATGGTAGTATGCTGATGTTTGCATCAGGCTCAGAGCACAGCTTTGCCTACACAAAGCCTAACAGAGCCACCAGCATGGCTTTAGACTCTTGTCTCCTGATAAATGGGTCAACCAATTAATCGTGTAACTAATTAATCAGTGAGTTAAATGATTGCTGCTGATTTAACTTCAATCAGTTGATCAACAAATTGTTGCTGCACTGGAGTAAACTAAAGTTAATGAGCCAGAGGAACCTGTAACTATTACTATCACTGCTAATTTCCTCTTTAAATTAACTGTTACACTATCATGAGTGTTTACAAGGCAAGTTACAAACCCCCATTGTGACTGAGAGGCGGAACAATCCTTTTTATAATGTACGCTCCCTTCTGTCACAATCATACATAATTCAGTCACACACACCCACACACACGCAGAATGATAGTGGTGGTGTCCAGTGATAGTGGTGGCAGACAGTGTCTGAGCACACAGAGGGATGGTGATGCTGACAGATAACCCCCACCGTGTTTTCTAATAGGGTCATTTATCTAAACTGTGACCACACTGAACAACAACACACCCAACAGCAGCACAGTGGAGCAGCACGTACTGCAGTGTGTCATACTCTGGCCAGTTACAGTGGGAAATGAAAGACATTAGAGGCGTTAGATACAGTACTGTACATAGCAAGATTGGGGTTATAGCATTTTATTTCGTCTCAAGATAGTATTACTGGTTCCTCTTATTGAATTAGACCCTCTATGAATCCCTTCTTTTACTGGTCCTGACCAATAAATAGTCAGACACATACAACGTGTCGCGTTATTTAGTGCACTTTAGGGGCCAGACACATCAAAAATCGAAGAACCAACTGATGCATTGCCCCACATCTCCTGTGTCTCGGCCAAAAAGTTGCACTTGAACACACCTCAAAGACTACAATGAGTGAGTACCTCTGCATCTGCGTAAGAGGAAATATGTAAGAAATATGTAAGATATATATAAGCAGCAAGCGGTGGCAGTCTGTATTTGTCATTCAAAAAGGGAAGACAGACAGGACGGCTTCAGGACGCTAGTTAGCCAGTAAGCAAGTAACAACACATCCCAAAGTTGACTAAACGACTTATAGTGAACAATAACAAACAATTATAAATAATTTCTGCTAAAGAGCTCAACCACTATATAATCTCATTTAACATTTCACATTTGTTTTAATCTCACACCTGCTTGACTTTAGTCATTTGTTTCTCCTCTGTGCACTGAGCTTAACTGGCAATCAGAGTGATTTCACTCACTGAATGGTTCAAACACTGATTCAGCATATGCTGACTGACAGCCCAACACTGACCAACAGTCAGCCTTTGGCTTGGTGTGTCAGGGCCCTTACAGGTGCTGTTTTCGTTAACTTTGGACAGAGCCAGGCTACATCCCCCATTTACGAGCCAAACAGCTGCTCACAGTAGCTTCATATTTACTATACAGACATCAAAATAATCTTGAGAAAAGCAAAGTATTGAGAGATCTCTGCTTTCCTCCATATTTTACTCATCTAACTTTTGCTTTAGCAAGGTAAAAGCAAATAAGCAAATTTCCTAAAATGTCAAATTATTCCTGTAAAGACCAAAACTAAAATCAAACTCAAATTATTCTAATAAAAAATGCAGGTGATACAATATTTGAAAAGACATTTGTTAGACTCTGAGCTCAACAACTAGGTATTTACCAACTTGGACTTGGATCTGGAGTGGAACCAGCTGCCTGAGCCCAACACTATCACTAAGGAGAAGTAACACCCAGAGATATATTTGGCATAGAAATGCAACAACAGCTTTCAGTATGAATGGGAAGAGCTGAAAAGACCACCATGTCTAAGACATGTCAAAAGAGATTTCTTCAGAGAGTATCTGTTCTTTTTTCCCCTGCATGGCTGAGAGGGAAACGCACAGCAACACTGTTTCGAAATCTTGAGTCATTCTACTAGTGCATGTGAGAATTTTATTTCAAGGCTAAATAACCTAGTTGGAGCTTTCTAAGAATAGGAAAAGGGAATTGAGAATACGGTGCTGCATGACTGAGCTCGTGCCTGACAATGTTTACTCAAATTTAAAATTTCTCAGCCAGCTGAAAAAAATAAATCTGTGTACGGAAAGTGAATGAGTAATGTTCTACTCTCTGGACAACTACTATAAATGTGCTGCCGAACAAGACAATGAAACCCAAATGTATGAATGTGTGTAAGCTTACTGCAGCTGTCATTATATATGCTCTTAGTCAGCTTGCCTTGTTACAACACGCTACAAACATTGACTTCCATATTGGTGGTTTATGTGATATGAAAACCATAAATGTCTCTCTGCAGTAATTTTGCATTGTAAGTATTATATGCCAACACACCATCTGGTCATGCATCTGGTCCTGCTAGACATGCCAGTGTTATACATGATGGCGTTCACAGCCTCCTTTGATGGAAACTGGTTCTACCTCCTTCTTATTTTCCTCCACAATTCTCCCTCTACACCTCCCCTCCTGCTCTCTCTCCACCTCAACCTTTTCTTTTAGAGTGATCCAGACTTTTTCAACAGCACTCAATTACTGTCGAGAACTCTACACTGTTATAAGGGCACGGCGGAA